ACTACTCTATTGTATAGCTATTGTTGATTCACCTTCCTAACTTTTGTCTACGAGCCTAAATCCTGTGTATCCTGCAAGCCCTCAATCAAGCAATGTCGTCCTATGAGCCATCCCTAAGCCTCCCCTACAGTGGATTTAACTTCCACTATACCTGAAATCTACAGAGTCGCACCCTTAGGTCCAGACAAAAGAATGCCTGCCTTGAGTTTTGGGCTTTAGAGAGCCCAACTCTGACTCCCTCTAAATGTGGCCCTTTCCGTGAGGCAGAGTCCACAGGACTAATATAATAGCCTTGCCTGAAGCCTGTGCATTTCCTTACAGATCAAGCTCTCAGACCCTGGATATCCTGCCCCAAATGGCCACACAACTGTTTTCAGGGCCTTTAGACCTGTTTCCTGGGCCCATTCTCTCAAGGGCAGACCACATCACCAGTGTGCGCACTCTGAGGCACAAGAAGGGACAGCTGTCTGTATGTACGGACCGAAGCGTTATTTGCATAGCCCTTCACGAGGGGACTGGAAAGAAAAGAACGAGTAGCCAGTGGCCAGGGCCAGCTCTCCCATTCCACCATGCTGGGTCACTCTGCTTACATCAGTGGGCCCGGGTGTTATTCTTAGGTCATTTTGCACATTTCTCTAGCTGAATACATCGTGCTTATGTTAGCTAAGGAATTTGAACCACTCTGGATTAGAAGTGTGTTTTACTTTAAAGTACCACACAAAATGAGCAAAAAGAGAAAGGACTAATAAGATGAATAACAAGAAGTTTGATGAACTTCATAAGATATAATCTCACTCAGTCCTAATAACCATCTGGGGGTTTTTAGTGTTTCCCTTTAGAATTTAGGAAACCAAGACTCAAAAAACCTGAGTTTTGCCCTGGTCTCTTAAAAGGGTGGGGACAGCATCTTCATGACTCCACAGCCTATTTTCTCTTCATCCCACTTCCCATGGGTCTAACTCAACATCTCTAGAACATCCATGTCAGCTGTTGACCTTAAACAAAAAATCAGCCAGATATTTCTCCAGTAAAATGGATTTATTTGAGAACAACAAAGATTGTTCGTTTTGAGCATGCAACCATGGCAGGCCATGTGCAAGTCTGCTAAAATAAAGAAGAAACTCTTATAGAGGGGAAGAGGAAGTTGGGAGGGCTACTACAAACAAAGAGTTCTCCCTGTTGCTTCCTGATAGATGCAGGACATGAGAGCTCCCCCTTTTGGCCTCCCTACTTCATTTTAAATGAGGTTTCTATTTACTAATTTATTATACAACTATTCTTTAAAGAGTAACCAACAGATGGATAGTTTCCTGTTTGTGGGTCTATGATTAGCAAGGGAAACATTGGTTCGGAGAGTTAGTTTCTCAAAGATTGATGTTTACAGACCAAGAGCTGATTTGAAAGACCTACCTGGTAGCATAGGGGCTGGAAATAAGGTGCCACTCTTCCCAGTCTTGGCACTAGCTAGTTAGTTGTAAGGGAAGGGGGAGAACTGTGAGTATGCTTGTTTTGGGGGGGTTGGGGGATGGAAATTCCAAAGACTTTTGTACACGTTGACCTCGCAGAGCTGAGCAATTTTCAGTTGTGCTTCTTGCTGATAACAGTTTCCCTTACCCACCATGGAACGGATCTTAATAGAAAACTCTCATTCAGGGTATAAGGTTAATGAATATGAAACTAAACCATAATATCTCCCTCTAGGGAATGAGATTTCTGAAGGACAGACATTATTGTATACATATCTGGTGATATGATGTAAGAGTCATGGGCATAATAGTCCAGCCTTCTCCACCTGAGGGGACTGAATCCCAGACGGAGCAAATGACTTAATTATTCAAGTGAACCCAGATTTCCTGTCTCCTCACCCAGTATGCTTCTCCTACAATATAAAACTCAGTTTATGAATGGGCAGGCCGTTTGTGTATATATTTGAAAAATATATTAAAGTCAAATTTAATCATATTAAAATCTAATCCAACGTGACGGGTGTAGGTACTATCCTTATAGATGTAGAGAGTGGGGTGGAACTGTGTACAAAAGAGAAAAAAATCTAAATATCAGGTCCTCAATGAAGCAGGGCTCTCTGGTTCTCCCATGGGCATTCCTCCAAGGCATTTTGTGGTATATTACTTAAAAGAGGCTTCCAAATATCTCCCTTAGAAAAGGCAATATTATTAATAAACTCTTGTTCAAGGGAAGGAATTCGAGTGCATACCACTACTCAAAGTTATCTTTTTGCAACTAGGTTTAAAGGAATCTAGTTAATATTTTAAGAACAATGTGTTTTGTCTCAATCAATAAAGATGAAAGAGATGAGTTAGGAGGTGAGAATCAGAGTGGAGAAGGTTTCTAGTACTTTCCCAATATTCCAAAACACGTATGTCTTAATTCAATTCTAAGTTAAACAGAATGTGGAATTTATCAAAAAGAAAAAGTAAGTAAGATCAGTAATGTTGGCTTTTTATACTCAATGAATCAAAGAGAAATAAAGAGAGTTAACTCTCCTTTAAAGGATACATTTTCTTATGAAAACTGGAAAAGAACGTGTGGCACTTTAAAAACTCTAAACCATGTAAGAAACTACAGCAGGACTATAATGCTTTTTTAAACCTATTTGTCTAAAGAAATGAATCATATTTAATAAGGTTTAGATATGCTAGCTTTATCTTCCTGGAATTATAATTCGATTAGTCAGGTTTATTGAATTTTATCTGATTTTACTTGTGTCTTAAAACATCTGCAAATAATATAATTTACCTGCATATTTGGCATAACAATATGCTTCTTCCTGATTTTAACAGAACTTAGTCCAAGTGTTAACCGAATCAAGCTGTTCAAAAGGGCATTTCTTTGAACACACACAGTAATTAATATGTCTAAGGAATGTTTTTCGGTTTTTCTTTACTTGTAAAGTCAGATCATTTAAAGAAGTTATTTACTACAAATAAAAATATCCCTGCCACCT